ACCCTGTCCTGGGCAATCCTTTCCAGCTCTTTCCAGTTCTTATTCATCTTTTTCATATCTGCTTCTATTTCCCGACGTAATGTGTTCTTTGACCTTCCTCTTCTCCGCTTCCCTTCAGGATTCCAAGTTAGTGCTTGTCTCATAATGCATTTTGATGATTTCCACAATGTATTTCCTATCCATTTCCATCGTCTTTTCCTAATTTCCTGTTCAGCTGGAAGCTGGTTGGTTCTCTCCCACAAAAGGCTGTTGCTGATGGTATCCGGCCAATGGATGTTGAGTATCATGCGTAGACAGCTATTGATAAATACCTGTACCTTCTTGATGGTGGTTGTTGTAGTTCTCCAAGTTCCTGCTCCGTACAGTGGGACTGACTGCCTTGACGTTCGTATTGAAGATTCTGACTTTGATATTGGTTGAAAGTTGTTTTGAGTTCCATATGTTCTTCAGTTGAAGGAATGCCGTTCTAGCTTTGTATGATAATAAGAAGTAATTGAATTATAGTATGAACTAAGAATCCCAGGGATAACGCAATTGAATCAAGAAGTACTACACAAGCACTAACGAATGTACTGTATTTAGAATTCGAAATCAAACATTCAACAAGTACAAAGGAGTCATTAGTTCATTCAAACACCACATCCGCCACAGCTTAAATTAGAGTCTAAGTGTCTGTAATCAATTGTACGCCTTTTCCTCAAGTTCATGCTGTGTCTGTCCGACAATGTATTGGATAAAGACTCTGTATTATCTAGAATGCACTCATTATTATTAGAATAAACAACAGAAATCGGAACAGACTCACTTGATTTCTGGGATTGTGTACAATCATCATGTCGGTTGAGTACTGAAAGTACTGCTACCTAGAATTTGAACCATAGACATTCAGACTATCCTCCCCCACGAAATAATGTCGGATCTTCATATCCCCAAGTTATGAATAATGTGGCTTCATTTAAATCATCTTTCTCAATTTGACTAGAGTAAACATTGGAAGTGAATTTATGATAAGGACAAACAATAATTGATATGGAATCATCTGAATTGTAATCAGACTCTAACTCATTTAATACTCGTGCTTCGCATTGAACAAGTTTCTCACAAGAGACAAATGCATCATGAGGACAAATAATATTTGATATGACATCAAGATTCGATTCTTCTGAAATAGTTTCCTCGAATTTATTAAGAATGTTATTGCAGAGTAAAGGATCGTTAGAAAAATCAGCATCTATCAAAACTACATCAGATTTTTGATCATCATTAGGTTTATTCGAAATATTTTCACCAGATTTGTAAGAAATTTCACCAGAAATATGTGAATCATTAGGTAAAACCATATCTGGTACAATAACATGAGAAATCTGATAGGTTGATTCATTAGAAATTGTTGTCTCGCAAGAATCTTGGGTTTCATTTAACTCTGAACTGCTATATGACTCTAAACTGTCTTTTGAAATCGTCGATAAAGATAAATGATCATTATAAATATTCAGATTAATAGAATCAGAATCGAAAGACTTAATATTAGTTGCAGCAAGATGAACAGTAGTATTACAAACTGACTGAATATGTCCAACATCACCACACTTAAAGCACTTACAGTTACGAAATTTACATGAATTAAAAGGGTGGAACTTGACACAAGAAAAACATTGACTAAACTTGTGCCCATCTTCGTGAACTGCACAACCTTGAGTATGCACTGGGATGGGGTGATGTAATGTAGTGGAATTTTTTATATCCTCATAAATTATTTTACGAAATCTCCCTTTATCGCATTTGAAATTTGTATACTTTGCATAGTCTAGAAGTAGTTCCTTGAGAGTTGTATAAGGAAGAGAAATGGGTTTTTCCGGTGAAGCCAAAATTTTTAATAAGCCATATGCTTCTTTCCCAATGAATGTGAGAAAATGTGCCACAATATTAATATCCTCATCATCTTTCTTGGTCATGCTCTAGATTTCAAACCTTTCCAAATAGTCCTCAAAAGCTTCATAAGTTGAATGAATATCTAACTGTTCCATCGCAGGTCCTGCTCGCGACGCCAATATGATAATTAGAAGTAATTGAATTATAGTATGAACTAAGAATCCCAGGGATAACGCAATTGAATCAAGAAGTACTACACAAGCACTAACGAATGTACTGTATTTAGAATTCGAAATCAAACATTCAACAAGTACAAAGGAGTCATTAGTTCATTCAAACACCACACTTTGCCAATCCTCGCCTTGACGTCTGCATCTGAACCTCCTTGTTTATCGACGATGCTTCCCGGGTATGTGAAGGATTCCACATCTTCCAGAGTTTCGCCATCAAGAGTGATTGTACTGCTGTTCTCCGTGTTGTGTTTGAGGACCTTGGTTTTCCCTTTGTGTATATTGAGGCCTACTGATGCAGAGACTGCTGCCATGCTGGCTGTCTTTATCTGCATTTGTTCGTGTGTATGTGATAGAAGGGCTAGGTCATCTGCGAAGTCCAAGTCGTCTAATTGGTTCTGAGCTGTCCGTTGACAAAAGTAGGTCACTACAAATATATATCGAAAATTAACATGAAAATACACGTGGATAGATAAACAATAGACCCACTGAATTGACTTCTTTGGATGGATTGACCAGAGGTTGAGGCGTGTTCCAGAATTCAGCTCACCATTTGTAGTGTTGAGTCGCGTCGCGGTTGACCATGAACACCACTACAAGAAGAGCGTGTACCAGACAAATCAGAAGGCGAAGAAAGATCGTAACCAGATTTATTCGTTGGCGATCTCGTGGTATCGGAATTATACCGAAATCGTGCCAAAAGGAATACAGGCGGAATTAGTGGGCTGAAGAACGAGTGTACAAGGTCACAGTCCACGGAAGAGTAATGGAGGAGAGTAATGGTTGTCTTTAGTACAGTTAAACAAGCGAGCACAGTAAAACAATCACTGGTACAATTGGTTATAATAATGATTGTTTCTCTTGATAAAAATAGGCCACTACACTAGTATGACCAATGAAATTTCATCTCTTTGAATTGTAAAATTGAGTGCCATTCTTTTATTTTATTCACTTCAAAAATAATATAGCCTTACGTATAAACGCGTTGGATGCTTTCTCTTTATTTTTATATTCCACTTGATGAACAGTAACAGATCACAATTTTATGTCTCAGTCATGACTTTGTGGCGTGGCGTCGAGTCGCGGATGACTATGATCGCCACTACAAGAAGACTACGTGCAAGTCAACCAATAAGAACCCCGTAGGTTAATATCAGAAGGCAGATGATGGCTGTAGTCGAGATGTATTTGCTGGCGATGTCGTGGTATCGAAATTATACCAAAATCTTGCCAAAAGGAATACAGGCGGAATTAGTGGGCTGAAGAACGAGTGTACAAGGTCACAGTCCACGGAAGAGTAATGGAGGAGAGTAATGGTTGTCTTTAGTACAGTTAAACAAGCGAGCACAGTAAAACAATCACTGGTACAATTGGTTATAATAGTAATTATTTCCATTAAACCAACCGCGTTCTCTTGATAAAAGTAGTCACTACAACTTCAAGAGAATTAGAATAAATCTTTCATACACCTTGACATGTATATTTCGTTTAACCCTGATAATAAACGTATTCTAACGGTTAGTAGCTTTGAAGTGGATTTCTTGCAAACTTTAGTTGAAAGGCACAAATTGTAGAAACAGGGATGTTCGAATTAAGACATTGAATGACCTGTGACGTTGGACAAGGTCTATACTATACAAAAACTGACTGTAAGTGGGATTAAGAACTGCTATAGTGTAAATCAACAACTTGAAGATAGGATGTTCTTAAAGGTTTCTATATTTCCCATTCCTGTACCGTAGAAGTGGTTAACATTTTATTTCAGCACGTTGTGAAATACGATTAGATGACAAACATCGTCAGTAACGTGTTTACTTCACTAGCATGTAGATATTTTCGAATGAACTAATCAACCTAAATAAATCATACAAAGCTAGTTTAAGTCCGCTTGTAAGTCAAGGTTTTAATGATTTAAGGTATGGTGAATGAAAGAAACCTTAATACATATGAGAACTGAGTAAATTTATGTTCCCAGTAAAACAAACACACACACAGTTCATAGATAAATAATAAATAATTGCGTTTTCAGCAGTTTGATCTCTCTTACATTGATAATAACCTTGTGAGAAATAAATGTTGTAAATTACACTGAATATAATATTCTTTTTCGAAAAAAGAACACAATAAGATTTGATTACGGGTACATAAATATGATATTTTAAAGAATTTGGTAAAGAAGTTCACACTCATCAATCTCATATGTCACCGTTGAACAATGATCTATTTAGCTTGAACTTGTTCAAAACTAATATTAATAATGATAGTAATAAGCGAGAAAGAGGAACAATCAAAAATTTAAAGAAAACATGATAAAAGGTGATTATTCTTATCAGTGAATCAATTAGCATTCATATCAACACCTAAACACTTGAAGTAGAAAGGGATATTTAATGAATAAACTAGCATGTAATACCATTAGTAGTATGTAATCATTTATATATAAATAATACTAAAGATTTCCAAGCAGACCTCTTTGTCTAATCTGATTTCCATCATATAAACAGGATGTAGACAAGTTTCTAAAATGGGGAAGATAGGGAAATTTAACCTTACATAAAAAAGACAAGAACATAACACAAACAATTAAATCAAATCATTTAAGTGAATATAAAGGAGAGCCTATAATAAATGTGTTTTCAACATTGTATATACTCAATAACGGAACAAATAAAATGCCTTTAAAATAAGGTAGAATATCGGAAACAGCGAAATGCATCGTTTTATTCAAATAAGAAATGTGAACAGATGAGGACAGTGTCGAAATCATAAAAGGGAAACTCCGTTAATTTTTGTTTCAGAATTTTGACAATGTAAAAATATCCTGACAATTAACGATAGATTTGTTTAGTAATGTATATGTATACTAGTGAATGACAGTTGTTTTGATGGTTTCAAAGTTTATGCTTTATTATCATGATATAACTGCGTTGTCATTATATCACCCGTTGAGACGGTTTGAACAGCTATAGATACACCACTCATTTCAGATAGCGAACTTGATGTTCCACTATCTTCTTTAGATAAATGATTTAGGGTATTTTTCATTGGTTTCGTTGAGGATTGAGTCGATGAAGTCACAAGGCTCTGATGTCGATTGTGACCATTATTATTGTCATTATAAATATAATTATCGTCATTATTATTAATCATAGCTGTCGTATGATTACCACTGCTTTTTATATAACATGGCTCTGATTGTGTTTGATTACATAATTCTGTTGAGTGACTTGAATCGTATAATTCAAGGCATGATGATTTAGAGTTTGACAATAGCTGGATACCAGTTTTCTTATGATTATGTTTTGACTGAAAATTAAGCACACGTTGCATTTCTTCTTCGACTTCACCTGGTATAAATTTTATATCAATTGGTAAATGTAAACCTTCTTCATGTGCTATCGGTGAAACAAATGGTTCATCCCCATCGTCCTCAATCTCCTCATCACCAGCTAAAGCATATTCTAAGTCGGAGTCGTTATCCACTGGATGATTTAGATTTGGTTTGACCAACTCTCTTTCTTTATTATTTGTACACGTTTCAACGATAAAATCTTCAATTTCTTCTTCAACCTCAGTATCATCATCAGCAGCAGTAGAAATTGTAGTTTTGGTAGTACCAACATTTCCTTCATGATCCATGGTACCGATAGCAACTTCACGTGATCTTGATTTATTATGTCCATTTCGTTGATCTATATCGGATTCATAAAAGTTTTGTATATTATGTAAGAGTGTTTTGTTACGATTATTAGTTAATGAATTTAATTTTTTCATATGAGATAATGCTCCAAATTTTTCAACATTTTCACGATCACATTCTTTCCAAACATGAGTGGCACGCCATTTCGCACGTGATTCTTTCGGTGCAAGAACAGCATTGAAATATAAAATTTCATCAACCTAAATGTAAAAATATGAGATTAAGTAATTATTTAAATTTTAAAAGTTGAGATCATGAGTCAGTTGAAGCTGGGCTACCATAGAAAACCTGGAAGCACTGGATCGCCGTTTAGTCCTACTGTGGGACTCCTCAGCTGTGTGTATCCACGATCCCTCCTTTCGAGACTCAAACTCAGGACCTATCAGTCTCGCGCGTCCAGTGCTTCCAGGTTATCCATGGTCGTCTAGCTTCAATTGATTCATGATCTCAACTATTAAAATTACTATCATATCCACAAAACCCCTTCTGATATTAATTATTTAAAGTAATTTTACGATTATGAAAAAGAATTACAGACATACATAACATGTGTACTTAGGCTATCCATAACACGTAAAAATGGCATACTCAGCAGAATGCTCTCCATTTACTTTTTTTTATTTCATATACATTTGATAAACAGGTGAAAATCATTTAAATCACAGTTTGAGGTGAATATGAAAGGGATTAAACACAGTAGAACATTTTTAGTAATCCGTTTCCATTAATCCCTGGTAATGCAGTCGAATTCAGAATCCTCATGTTTCAATACAAATGCAGCAATATTCAACCAATAAACCAACTGATCTATTTTCTCCAACTTCAATTATTTAGATCAGTTTTGTATTTATAGTAAAAATTCCGTATTAAAGCAAACAATCTACTTCATTCTAAGATAGTTTAGCCTTCAGAAAATATACAGGTCAATAAGGAACTTAGAATTATTAATTAATCTGACGTTTATGGGAATTTTTTTTCAGCTAGATATCTCATATTTACTGAAAGCTATGGAAGCTGTGGAAATGAGGCAACACAACTTGGCGATTCTCGGAATCAATAAAACGGATTGAACCCAAACTGGAAATAAAAGATTAGCTTCGGCAGAGATAGTGTTGCATTTTGGACATGAGGAGGTAAGTTCCCTATGCACTCGAGGACTTGCACTGATATTTCCTAGAGAAGCTCATAAATCACTCATAGGATGAGAATTTGATGATTCCAGCATTATCAAAGCATTCTTCAAAGCAAAGAAAGAGTAGATTGTAGTAAATATCATCCAGTGCTGTGCACTCCCCAATGATAACAGTGGAGGCGAAAATGATCAGTTTCATGAGAGAATACAATTGGTCGTACAGAAATGCCTAGGACAAGACCTGATCATCCTGTTGAAGGAAGTAAACTTCCGGGTCGGGACGGACTACCTTCGTATCCAGATATCATAGGACGTCGCGGGTTGGAAGAAAAGAACGAAAATGATGAGAGATTTGCAAGTCTATGTACCTTCAACAAAACTGCTATAGGTAGCACCACGTTTTCCCACAAACGCATACACACGTTACATGGGCTTCACCAGGTAACACTACAACGAACCAGACCGATCACATTTGCATCAATAAGAACTTCGGATTAATTGAGGAAATGCGAACAAAGAGAGGAGTTGATATTGCTTTGAATCCCTTCTTAATGGTAGCAAATATGAAACTGAAGCCAAATAAGCTCTGTACAGCTGGAGAAACATCATTACAGAAGTTCAATACAACACTTTGGGGGATCTGATAAACTCAACGAGTTCAAGATAGCTCTCATCAACGGGTTTCAAGCCTTATATTACATACTAAAAGAAGGGGAAATTCCTTTGGAGAACAACTAGAAAGAGATTAACGAAATACCAGCATAAAAAGTTAATCTGTTTTTTCTGGAATTTCGTGATCTGAGCTGTATGGTTTGGTCGTGAACAGTTCTTGAGAACAACAATGTGAGCTTCATGGACGAACCATCCAGCTCAAAGAAACAAACGACTAAAATCCTACACCTGAGCTAGAAATCGTCCCTAACATCTCTTTTGGCACCCTGGGCAGTATAGAGCAATTAACAAAAACCAAACAAGAACACGGAACGTTTGGACTGGAAGAACCAACCAAATAGCTGTGGAAATCAGGAGATACAACATGGCAATGCTCGGAATAAGTGGAATCCATTAGACCCAAGTTGGACAGAAAGGATAGATTCGGGAGAGATGCTGCTGTACTCGAATCACAAAGAATAAAATGCTCTGCACATTCAGGGGGTTGCTCTGATGTTGTCTAAAGAAGCACGTGAAGCACTTATAGGATGGGAATCTCATGGACCCAGGATCATCAAAGCATCATTCAAAACAAAGGAGAAGATCACAATGAATGTTATCAAATGTTATGCATGCATCAATAATAACAACGAAGAAGATAAAGATCAGCTTTACGAGAAGATGCAATCAATCATAGCGAAATGCTCAGAAAAAACCTAATCATCCTGGTGGGGGACCTAAACGCCGAAGTCGGAATGGACAACACCGATTACGAACATATCATGGGACGATGTGAACTGGGAGAAAGGAAAGCGATTTGCAAATTTATGCGCGCTGAACAAAATGGTTATAGGCGGCATTGTATTCCACCACAAGCGCATACACAAAACTACATGGGTCTCACCGGATCACAATACAGGGAACTAGGTCGATCATACTGGCATCAATAAAAACTCAGAGGGTCAATGCAAGACGTGAGAACCAGGAGAGGAGCTGATATAGCTTCAGATCACCGTCTGGTAGTTGCCAAGATGAAAATGAAGCTAAAGAGTCACTGGATAACTAAACAAACAGCATTAAAAAGGTTCAATAGACTTCCTTCGAGATACTGACAGACTCAACTAATTCGAAATGGCTCTCAACAACAGGTTTCAAGCCTCACAAGATCTACTACAAAAATCTACTATGAGGAACAATTGGAAAGGGATCAAAGAAAAACCAACCTCAACGTGTCAGGAGATTCTGAACCAAAAGAAGCATCACCATAAGGAATGGATTTCCATAGAAACCCTGGACAGGTTTCAAGAAAGGAAGAAGACAGTAATCAACAACAACCAAACAAGAACAGAGAAAGTCAATACACAAGCTGAATACACAGAAGCAAGCATCAGAGCTGACAAGCAGAAATACGTGGAAGACCTAGCAACGACAGCGGAGAAGGCTGCAAGAAAAGGAAATATCAGACAACTATATGGCACAATGAAGAAAATGGCAGCGACACATCATAAACTAGAGAGACCGGTCAAGGACAAAGTAGGCAAATCAATCACTGAGACACGAGAACAGCAGAACAGATGGGTAGAACACTTTGAACAACTCATTAATAGGGTAGCGCGACTGAACCAGCCGGACATCGAAACAACACCTACAGACATCAATCCATTGTTTCAGATTTCATTGTTTACGCGTTTTCATACCGATTGTGTTCCGTTCCCGTTCTTTCCCAATCGACTTTCTACTGAAATACATTCTATACCTGACCACCGTCATATACTACTTGTGTGGATATAAGCAACCCAAACCATAATGTCACTCCACCAACGACAGGATAAATCAGGATGGCCATCAGACAAATCAGGATTGGGAAAGCAATAGGATCTAACAATATACCATCTGAAGCACTGAAGTCAGACATAGAGGTAACATTGAAGATGCTCCACATTCTATCCAGAAGGATATGAAAGGAAGGACAAGAACCAATAGACTGAAAAGAAGGGTACCTCATCAAGATACCAAAGTAAGGAGATTTGAGCAAATGTGACAATTGCAGAGACATCACACTACTTTCAGTACCAAGATACCCTTCAACAAAGTACTACTGAATCGAATGAAAGGCTCAGTAGATTCCCAACCCTAAGATCAACAGTCTGGGTTCTGTAAGAATCGATAGTGTACCGAGCAAAAAAGGACTAATAAGGATGCTAAGCTGCTCATACTGGTCGAACACCATTGGTTTGGAACAGTACTAAGATTTTATAAGTCGCATTTCGATTGGCAAATAAATCACATGATAATTAGCCGGGTTTAAAGTCACAACAACTAGGCGATGGAGGTTTTGCGAAAAAACATACATCAAGTGTGGTTACACTTTTGAAGCATGGTTAGGCAGAATAGAAGATATTTTCCGAGTGGAATTTTCTGCTATGGATGATTCTATTAAAGCCCGGCTGCTGTTACAGAAGCTTGGTCCTAACGAGTACTAAAAGTATAAAAACTATATCCTGTCTAAACGTCCACGAGAAGTTAACCTCGATGAAACTGTTAACATTTTAAATAAAATGTTCCGTGAATAGTTGTCCTTATTTCGTATCCGGTATAACTGTCTACGGTTGATTAAAGAAGCCAATGAATACTACACTACGTACACCGGAAGAGTAAAGTTACAAACAGAACGATTCAAATCAAATATATTAACCAGAGATCAATTTTAATGCTTATTATTTATTTCTGGTCTGAACTGTCTCATCGATGCTGACTTTCGCATGTGGTTTTTATCCCGTATGGAACACGACGTTGAAATGACGCTACAAACTATTGTTGCTGAATGCCAACGATTAATAAACTTAAAATACGATACAGCTAAGATGGAAATCAGAAATGTGGTGCCATCTAATCATTCTGTTCATGTTGTTAAGACAGGTCGAAGACAAAATAGTACTGGAAGTTATAAATATCACTCGAAAATTCCTAAACCTTCAATTAAATGTCAGTATTGTGGGGTGTGGCGCTTCTCAAAAAATTTCCGCTTTAGAAATCGTCGATGCACTATATGCAATAAAATCGGTCATAAAGAAATAGCCTGCCGAACTAGAGAAAGTTTGCGATCAAAGCCAACGAAGCGTCCTAACCAGTATCAAAACATGTATATAAACAGTATATATGCTACACTGGCTCTAAGCATAGAAGATAAAAGAAGGTAAGTGGAATTATTGGTTATCGGTGTTCATATTCGATTGCAATTAGAAGCAGCATCAAATATGCACAACCTAGTTACTGATTAGTCATACGATAAGTATTTATAATGGTAGTCCATTAATAGTCCACAGAAGTTACCCGTAATTTGATCTTCACTAGGACATAACAGTAACAAACGTAAGTTGTTAAAGACCTTCAGTAACACGAAATTAGCGATTTTCACATTACTGTTACATATGTCAGGTGGTAGTTGTCTACAAATGAAATCTCCATTTGTTAAATGTGTGGCCTGACAAACGACGTATCCTTATCATAATATTTTAGAGATATTAAACTAGGGAGTTTACAAAGATCTGTTTTATTTAAACCAGTCCTTTCATTACGAACAAAGTCAACCTGGAAAACCGCTGAAAACAAAAAGACATTAAAGAAGTGTTTTGTTCAAACTTACAAAAACTCTAATCAGAGCTTACTAAAAGCTCGATATCAGAGAGAACCCAAATAATTCCCATCACCTAGTGAAACAAAATTTATTGAGTAATTGTGTTGAAAATATCAATTGACATTTCCCAGCTTTGATTAGTTTGATGACCAATAACTTCAGCCACAGCATTAATAACTTTACAGATCAGTGCTATGTGTTGTTTATTTATAATTTTGTACTGAAAATAACTTGTAATAGTAAAAAAGAACCATTAAATATCACCGAACAAGTTATTCTATACACAAAAATAATCAGTAATCAGATGAAGTTTATGAAGTTTCAGTTGCAAAATATGAGGTAAGAACTACATAACACTAAAAATAATAAACAGGAGAAATCAAGTAAAAAGCACGAAAATATCGAAAAATCAGCCTTTTGAAATGCATTACGTTCTGATAAAGAACATTCGCGTCCTGCCACTCCATCTCCTCATCTTTCTGCTCATCATCATCATCATCGCGATCAATTTTATTTGAATAACCAATATGACCGATGTATTTAGTTAATCTTCAGGTATCTCAATAAACACTCTATATATTGTACATGTAAAGTAAGCTTAATCTAGTAACATCTTTCATATTTCATTCGGAAATGTATCTAAAGCTAAGAAAAATACTTATGTCATATCTCTTGGTTTTCAATAAACCTTCATGTAACTGATTATGATTCATGATGACCATCACTTGACGACTAAATAAAATGAAATTATCTCAATTGAAAAAACGTAGTCAAATCAATTATCATAACTTACTTTGAAATGTTTTTGTAAATCATCTACATGACGAAATATTGATTTATCAAAGAATACATGTTCATGTTTACCCAAATCAATAATTCCCCATAATTTAGCTACATGAAATATTCTGCCACAACGATTTGTCAATGTACGTATACCATTTAAATCCATTGGTTTTGATGCAGTAATTATAATATTAACCATACGATTTAAACGTTTATTACATACATTAATATAATCTATATTTGAATTACACAATTGTTGATATTTACGTTGTTGACATTGTTGTTTCAATTGTGAATAATCACTATGGTGATTAGAATTATCATTTGTTCCATTATCATCATCATCATTAAATGATGCTTTGATTGATTTTAATTCAAAAAATAGATTATGTTGATTTAAAAATTCTTCTAATTCAATTTTAGTCCAACCAATTGTTGTTTGAACAGTTTCAGGTGCTTTATTAGATAAGAATTGCATTACATCATGTAGATTTAAACCAGATTGACCGGCTGCACCACCATGTTTTTCTAATACTTTACGTAAAAACATTATTGCCCGATATTCATTAGCGGACATAGTTAAACTAATACTGTTCATTGTGTTCAATGTAACACTAGGTAATGAATTGGTTAATGAAGATGTGTCATTTGCTGCTGTCATTGAAGTTGAACTGACACCATCACTACTACTATTATTATTATTGATGCTGTTAGTTGATTTATCGACAGCTATTCTTTCTGTCTGCACACGGTTACTGATATCTGATACAAGATTCGAATTGATAGGTGTTACCGGCACTGAGCTAATACTCTCTGACTCAGTTAATGTTTTATTCTGAGGAGATTTCGTTGAACTATCAATTAGAAAATGTGCTGAACGGCGATGGCGGCTTCCAGCAGTGGATCGTTGAATCGATGATGATGGTGTATAATAACCACCAACACCATCGGATACATTTGATAAATGTCCAAAATTTATCATATTCGGTAAAACAAGTGATTTGGGTCGGGGATTTCTCTCATATGGTATATTACGTGATAGATAACTTTGTGCAGCATTAGATAGATTCGATGATGAACGACTTGAGTGAATAGCCGACGGACGATCGTGAGATCTTTTCAACCCAAAAACACTAGTGAACGGATCTTTTACACTAACTAAATCTCCCTGCACTTCAAAAACATGTGGATGTTTCAAAAGAAAACGTCGAAATTCCAACTGTGGACCAACTATAGCACGAACTTCTGGACTGGCCTGCGATAAATGTCCTGCTAAACTTTTAATTGGTATCCAACGTTCTTCCCGTTTAATTAATTTCTGTTGAAAAAAGTGTACTGCTTCACTTTCGAGTATGAATTTCTCCATTACTGGTAAATTGTAATAGTTTGGTAGTAGTATAGATGGAGATCGTAATGTAGTTTGTGCTGGTGATATTTTATGAATAGGATCATGTATATGGTGAAATAATGGAGCTGATGGATTTGCTGTCAGTGGAGTGCTTGTACAATGACAATGCGCTGAAGATGAATGATGATGTGCAGTTGTACAGTGATGTGTATGATGGTGACAGGTTAATTCTATCAATGGACAGTGTATACATGTTCCATTAGTCATTGTAGAGAACTCATGATGATTACTTAGTAAGGCATTATAATTACTACTATTAATCGTAGTAGGGACATTCGATGAAGAAGAGCATAATTCACAACCAGATGATAACATTATTGAGGTTCCATGTTCAAGATTACGTAACTGTGGTGGTTGGTAAACATTTGAAGCTTTTGGTCGTAATGTTGAGGGGTTTTTCGGAGATAAACCAATAGGTGGTTGATTATCATCATTATCATTGTTTGTGGTAGTATTAGCATTAGTATTAGTAGTATTGGCAACATTTTTGTAACTGGTTGTGTCGATGCCACCACTGGAGAAGTTATTCCATGACTTTTTACGTCCTAATGAATGATCAGATGAATGTTTTACAAAGTTCGACGATCCATTAGATGAACCAATCGACTGATCAGATGTTAATGATAAACAACTTGTACTATTCAATCGATTATTATTATTAATGGTATTATGATTTATATTATTATTTGTGGTGCTGGTAGGATTCAGTTTCCGATTAGACTGAAATCGACTATATGTATATTCCTTTTGCACACATGGTATTGGACATGTTTTGGATGAGTATTTAGAGTCAAAATTGTAAGAGGAGCTTTGCAATGAAGAAGAACTGCTGGATAAATTTTCAGTTATTGATTTCTGACCACTTTCTTTTATTGAACAACTTTCTTGATCGGATAAACCACCGTAATTTGAATCTAAGCCAGGTAATTCAATAGTGACTGATGTCACTTGTCCATTCGGTTTTACATTAAACAATGAAGGATAACGTTGTAAAAATGCACGTAAACCTTCAGCGCTTCCACCACCGCATGCATCACGCATTTCTACACTGAATGATTTATGCGAAAAACGTGCTGCTAATTGATCAACAGTGATAGGACTATCAGAATTCATAAGAACCTCAAGAAAATAAAGCATTGCTTTATGACTTGGATCATTCATCATTTTATAAAGGAATACTTCTCTTCGTTTTAAATAATCTAAACATGATACGGCATCTAGTTTGATTCAGGATTCATAAATAATACGTTGGATATTGTGAAGTGTGAAAAGGGATATATTGTTTTATAAAAAGATAAGAGATAAAATTATTTAGAGGTGAATACAATAGTTAACTTTTACAATGCAACTGTTAAGAACGGTAATCAATAATATCGATAGATCTATCACAACAGTCTTATCAGTTTTCCAATCAGTCTGAATCTGTTACATACTGTCCAAACTGAAAGAACTGATTTCTATGAACCAGCCTAAATGTCATTTATATAGAAAATAGTTTCTTTTAAATACAGAACTAATGTTAGACAGAGAGTTATGTGTCAACGTTTGTGTAAATCTACGTTACTGAAGATCATCTAAACGCTATCAGTTAATTGAGGAAGTTTTTATTTGTATGTCATGAGGTGAGAAAACGTACTTAAATGTAATTTTATTGAGTGTCAGTTTATCAATTTTACAATTCTATTTTCAGAAGGGGTTTTGTGGAGGCTAGTAATTTCAATAGTTGAGATCATGAGTCAAGTCAACAATCGAGTCATATTTGTAATAAATGCTTATCCAATCATAATCAGATGTGGAAATTAGTCAACATTTAAATAGGATTGAATAAGCACAGTAAAGATTTGATTTGATTGTTAAACATGATTCATTTTTTGATAGTTGAGCTGACTCAGTTGTATAGAGTTTAAGCGTTTGCGCGTGAGAACGATAGAACCTAGGTTCACCTCTCGCGACGCGGTATCCTGGATGAGCACTGTTGAGGAACCTCACAGTGGGACGAAACGGCTGTCCAGTGATTCCAGGTTTTCTATGGTGGTCTATCTTCTCTTCAATTAACTTATGATCTCAACTATTAAAATTACTATAATATCCACAAGAAACCTCTTCTGATAGTAATTTTAATTTTGATTATTCTGCCCTGTAGAAGTTCAGACAAGCTCTCTGGACAAAACATTGAAATTTTTCACATAAATAATTTTATTTATTGTTGATTAACAAATAAAATAATTAATTAGTAAATAGGAACAGGATTACATAAACAAATGTTGGAAAATTTCAGGTGTCAGAATGGGTTGCGTAATAATAATAATAATAATAATAATAATAATAATAATAATTACTACTCGTTAACGAAAAATGGTTCAACCTCTCTTGAAATTTCGATATGATACAAAATGATTTTTAGCTAATGTAGTTGGATGTTCTATTGATAAGTTTGTTGAAATGATACATTTCAGTTATAGAAGTTTCTAAGAGAAAATGAACACCCTCTCCGTTCGTTGGAGTAATGCGTTCATTGTTATAGTACCATTACACTCAGTCCCATCACACTCCAGACCATCAGAATCTTCCTGGTTATTTTAGTTCTATTGAAAAGAGGCAGTTAAAAGTGAATGACTGAGAGAGAGATTTAATTCAATCAGTCATGACTTTCAACTCAATAAAATTCATCGAAATACTATTATTCTGTAATGCCTGTTTTTGGTATCTTCTAAATTTCAATAATTTTCCAACTTATTCCAACTCTCTGTTGAAAATCAATACGAACGTCAAGGTAGTTCTACTGTACAATGCTGAAACTTGAAGAACTAATACAACCATCATCAAGAGAGTACAAGTATTTATAAATAGTTGTCTACGCATGATACTCAACATCCATTGACCGGATACCATCAACAACAGCCTTCTGTGGAAGAGAACAAACCAGCTTCCAGTTGAAGAAGAAATTAAGAAAAGACGATAGAAATGGATAGGACATACGTTACGCAAATCATCAGACTGCATCACGAGGCAAGTCCTAACTTGGAGTCCTGGAGGAAAGTGGAAAAGAGGAAGGCCAAAGAACAAATGACGTTGGGAAATAGAAGAAAATTTGAAAAGGATGAATAACAACTGGAAAGAGCTGGAAATCACTGTTTGGAATAGGGTTGGATGGAGAATGCTAGTGAACGGTCTATGCTGTTATACGAGGAGTAACAGGTGTAAGTAAGTTGAAAATTAACTTGAATGAGAATTTATTTTGAATTGATGATTCAACTGAACCTGTTTTTTTTCGTAAATTTACATCAATTAATCGTTTAAAACAAAAGTATGAAATTGTATTAAATAAAACAAAAGAACTTTATCTAAATTCATTATTATATTACTAATATATTAATGAATAGATTGTTTTAATTAGGTATATAAATGATTATTCAATAAAAATACAGTTTCTAAAACGAATGCATTTGAAGAGCAAAACAAAAAATATCTTTCCGCTTTTTTTTTCTTTCTTTCTAACTTTAATGTAATTCATGCGATCTAATTTATGCGCATGTTAAGGATGATTGAAGAATACACTTAAGTGTTTATGATGAATTAGAGTATTCTTAAAAATAACCTTGAAGAGAGAAATTAACACAATCGTGTGACCAAAAAAAAAACACAAAAAGTGAACTTAACGTTACAAGTAAAAACAAATGAACTACATTATCCCTTGACGGTTGTTAAAGTGATCTCAATAGTTGAGATCACCAGTCAATTGAAGAGAAGATAGACCACCATGGAATACCTGGAATCACTGTACGGCCGTTTCGTCCTATTGTGGGACTCCTTAGCACTGATAATCCACGACCCCTCCTCGCGAGATTTGAACCCAGGACTTATCGTTCTCCCGCGCAAACGCTTAACCACTAGACTACTGAGTAGGCTGGCATCCAACAGCGTAAATAGTCCGATGACCTAGATTTCAAATTCTAAAGTAGCTATATCAAGGGATTGTGACGGTAACTGAATAATTATTCACGATCATGGACTTCTTATTTTTTCATAGTCTGTGGAGAATCTTGATGCCTTCATCAATTATATAAAGATTCTTGTGTGCCACACCATTGATTTTTGAAGATAAGCTTACGTTCATTGTCAAAAAATCCCTCAATAAAGATAAGCTTTTCCAATCTTAAAGAAAATCACACAGTCATCTCTAATTTGATTGGTTATATACTGAAGCTATAAGTTTAGGTTGATACTTTCTATTATCAACAATATAACGAATCACACTCATAGTTCGTTTGTTGAACTTTTCGGTTAATTGCAATATTGAAATATTTGTAGTTTATAAATAAAGAAAAAAGTTTTCCTTAGAATTTCTTTTCAAATTATATTAGTAGCTTGAAAAGTAACAAAGAGTAGTTTAGTTCATCCATCATGGAATCTAATTTATGTTATAAACTATGTATATATTGAGAAACAAGGTGGTTAGCCTAAAAAAATAGCTATTCTATGATCAGAGTGACAGATACCACTTTATTATGATCAAAATATATATGTAGATCCTGTAAGTGTATCTCTATAAAGAACTTAAACTAGAATAAATTCCTATTTTAGGCTTTACCTTTTGCCTAGACGTAAAAGTTACAAAGTACTTATTGTTTGATTACGTTCATTTAACTTTTATAAATTTTGGTATAATTTTTAGGTTTGAAAGGGAAACATTAAAATATTTGTGACTACTGAGTATTTGTATACCATGACCTACCAATTTATGGATAGTTAATAGCAAACAAACGCACAGGGAGAGAGAGAGGCAGGAAACATTCAGATCATCTAGTGTCTTTTATTTTTGTGAATAAATGGTAGTTCTAGCATGTAGGAACGTTCTAGGTAACTAGTTTGGAATTTTTACTTTTTCATAAACGTATGCTGTTAACTGTTTGGTCGTTTCTGCTTTTAGTTTGCTAGTTTTGCTGTGTCTCTGTTGGGATGATCCAGAAAAGTTCTCGCAAAAGACGCAAGGATCAGGAAACCTTAAGAAGCATTTCATCCAATCAGCGTTCACTTGGAGTTTAGCCAGAAACATCAAGAATGTGAAGCGTCACATGTAGAGGTTCTGATTGGTTGATTGTTATACCGCTACTATGTTTAGTAGCATTTCAGAAACTTCGAGCAACCCAAGGACATTTAGAATATTATAAAAACCCTCTGTATTCTGTATTAGAATGAACCTTGGAGTAAAGTACTTTTCGCATATTTTTCGCCTTCTCTCTCGTGTTCAGGTCGCTGTATAGTTCTAGCTTGGAGGTTTCAGAATAGCTTAGGAATCGAGTATAGCGTTCGAAATCGCAAGACTTATCAGTCTCAAAGAAATATTTGTTGCTGTATGCACAGTTGTGTTCCTACAATTTTGATTTCTTTAAATACCAAGCTTTTTTCTGAGTTCGCGAATTCCATTCAGTCTCCTGATAGATTGCTCTTGAATTGTTGTTGATTAGTAGTCCTGTTCATGTGGTTTGAATGTGCCCCATTTATCACCATAAGAATCGCTTAGCGGTTCGTAATTCGTGATTATGTTAAGATGTCACAAGATAGAACAAGAGGGAAAATAAATCTACAAAGGAACCACGTATCGATTTCTTGTAAGGGCTTGTACTTTTTATTGTGTTGGTGTTTAGGACTGCACACAATTAGTCTGTTTGTATATATGAATCCTGAACAGATACCTTGATATAGTCTATAGTTACAAGTTCAAATATATTTGGATTGTGGCTCGAATTAAAACTTAGATTGCATATTTCAATGTGTTTGATACTTGTCATCTGAATGCATCTGAATCCCAATTTGATGATCATACTAAAATTCAAGCTCGTAATCTATCCCTTCAAACGCCAAAACGCTATTCGCTAAGTTTTTGATCGGAATTCAGTTCTGATTGCCAAAAGTGAAATGGTTGAAACCCTTACGGATAACAGATTACTCCATTGGACGAGTTAGTACCTATTTAAACTTAATAGATTAATAGAAAAAGCATTGAGATTTCAAAGTGATATATGATTAGTTTGAATCTGTGTGAACATTGCTTTCATGATGCAGGTACATCCAGGTGATAAGTCACTAACAGAAGGAAAAGAGGGCCCTGAGTTCCTCTGCTTCATATAGCTATTTCGTTAAGGTTATTCTTTTCTATTAAAACATATTCTTATAGATATTCACTTGTAATCTACATTCATTTGATGAAACATCG